CAGTAATTATTCAGTAAAATATGAATACTCAAGATTTCAGATTTTCGAAATTTCAATTGATATAAAATGAACAAAAATAAGTGGTTAAAGGCTCAAGTTTACCTACTAGATGTATAATGGAATTTTTACCATTTTATTTTTCTTACGCTCGTGGAATGTTGCTTGGATTAATTTGTTCATATTCAGCAAGAAATAATTTTATTAAACGATTAATGCTCCTAATCAAACTTTCAGAAGCTTACAGAGGCTTAAATAATATTGCTATTTATTGGTTTCTATAGCAATCACATCAATATAGAAATTTTCAAGCAGAATTAGCTGGAATGCAGAATTAGTATAGAGCACAAAGCTATTAACACGGAAAATCTTGTTCAATGTTAAACAAAAATCTGTCATTTGGTAACACTTTACCAGACGAAATAATGTTATGAAAAGCTGAACTTGAAGTGCCAGCTTGTCACTCTAGTGCTAAGCTGGCCCCTCTAGTAGTCGACCGGTTGCTCTAGTGTCTCACAGCCCCACTCTAGTGTCCGGACAGCAACCGCAGCCCCACACTAGTGTCCGGACAGCACCCGCATCCCACTCTAGTGTCCGGACAGCACCCGCATCCCACTCTAGTGTCCGGGCAGCACCCGCAGCCCCACACTAGTGTCCGGACAGCAACCGCAGCAATCCAAAACCAGAGAGTTCCCATGTCTCACAGACAAGCGAAAAGTTTATCAAAGGGTATCATGTCCCATTTATAAATAGGTTAATCAGATAAATATATTTAATCTCTATGAAGAGGAAGCCGATGGGAGGGTCGAGAAATGTAATTCAATATCTCGTGAGAAGAGTGCAGTAGATGGAGCCACCGAGATGGAGAGAGGAATATTTCTTGAGAGACGGAGATGGAATTGAATTAGAGGGAGCGGATACGCAAAGAGCGTAAAATCGATGATTAGAAGTGGCAAGGGAAGGAAGGGCTGACACAGCGAGACACACGAGTCATGACAAGGACACATGGTTGGAAATGGCTAGACTGTTATTAGGCTGTCGTCGAGAAACAGCTTGAGAAACAATGCAAACTTCGAGGGAGAGAGAAAGGGAGAGAGAGAGAGAGGGAGAGCATGAGCAAGGAAGTAAGAACGTATGAAAAAAGAGACAGTGTGGTAATTGAAGAAACATACTAAATAAAACGAATATATATAACCTTCAAGATGCCCCTAGAGTCACTTTAGTGAGGAGATACAAGGAGTGAACTGACTTGGGAGGAAGAGAGAGGAGCTGGATGACCCTCACAGCAGAGAAATAAGAAACGAGAAAGAAGAGACATTTTAAGATGATGTAAGGGAAGAATTGAAGTCAAAACAGATATGATAAATGAAGAGAATATAGATAATTACGTACATATAACAAAAAAATAAAAGTGACTACACAAACATACAAGTAAAAATGATACTAGGTAATACAACAGAAAAATCTGAATTGAAAAGAAATACAAAAAGTAGATTACAAAAATTAAGAAGATTAAATTTACACACATTCTCCATTTGAATTATGAAAACAGAAAGAATTAGAATGTAAACAAATACATTTTACAACTAACAGGTGGAAACATTCGCTGCAACATTCAGCCAGGAGACGTTTTTGAGTGTTTACTTTGTGTTCTTGATGTTCTTGTTCTTGATTAGGTGTTGTTGTGCCACAGGTCAGCGAGTGATCAGGTTCAGAGACTTGTTCAACCATCTACCGCTTTTGTAATGTTCTGAATGGGGCAAACTGGGAGTCGCGAGGAACTTCCTTAGCACCATGGCGATTTATGATGTAAATATACATAAATGTTGTATTTTTCTCCAATAAGGGGATTTTCATTGTATGTGAACTCCGTAAGACATGCTCACTATTCAGAGATTTATGTATAAATGTTTAGGTTCTGATGAAGGAAAAATTGGTTTTCATCTTTATTTTGTATTCTATAATATGCTGCTGCATGTTATGACTTCAGTGATATTTCTATTTTTTTTATCATTATTGCTTTCTTGGACAAAAAATTAAGGTCATATATTTATTTTCATCAAACATGTTTTCTATGATTGCTCATTCATAAATGTTGCCACAAATAATAAAACTTTAAGGATAGTTAATGAAAACTAAAATACATATAAACCTTTAATGAAACACAGATGAAGTACAGTATGTGGTGCCAGGTTGCCACTCAACATATATCTCAATTAACCAAAATAAAAAACAACATAGAATAATATTTTAGGAATAAATACTTAGTCAATTTATCATGATAATTCAAAGGACATAGCTCGTTCATGGGCTTATTATGTTTCATAACAATTAGGTCCTTATTCATTTGGTAAACAAATTATGAAATAAGTAAACTCATATAAACATTAGTTTCCAGACCGAAACAACTTATTGAGGCTATAGGCAATACTCACACATTGCTTCAACACATCAACATCTGAGTACTACAGGGAATGTAACAGTCATTTAAGAAACTAATCGAGGTCACGACATAGGGTAGTAGTACTACTACTAACTACTATCCTAAGTAGTACTTAGGGAAGTACTAAACCTGTCCGTCGTGATCTATCAGCATTACACATACACACACACGCGCACACACACACACACACACACACACACACACACACACACACACACACACACACACACACACACACACACACACACACACACACACACACACACACATTAATGACTCAGAGAACACAATCAATGGCTAATAATGTACATGATAGAGCATCTGGCAGAAGCTCAATGTTCATACCTTTATACAAATGGACATAAAAAGTGATATACACTATCAGTAACGATTTATATACATCTATGTACATTCCTTGGTGTGTGTATGCTTCACGTTATGGTACTTTTTGAACACACTACATAAAACACCAATTAAAGGCTTATCTGGAACATAAAAATAAACATGGAGTGAACCAGGCTTATGGATCACAGTATATCTGGGTTCGGAGCTCTGGGTCGAGAGTATTACGTTGTCAGCCACATCAAAACTGCTTTAAAAAACAGCTTTAGGCTGTTATTAAAAACGCTATTAAAAGCTGTTTTTAAAAACAGCTTTAAGCCATTATTAAAAACGTGATTAAAAGCTGTTTTAAAAACAGCTTTTAATAACTTTTTAATAACAACTGCTCTAAAAACTGTTTAATCACGAAGGGTGATAACGGGAAACGGATCAAGGTGTCATAATATTCAACATTTTTATAACAAAATATTAAGAGATGAACAAGTATTACTTAAAATTGTTGACCTGTTTTTCCTGGATGTTATAGCTAGGATATAAATGATTAACGAAAATGTTACAGGATTTCAGAAAACTGAAATGAACTAGACTTCAGGAGACTAATTGACTGAAGATGTTGACGATCCTTCAAATTAATTAGTAATGTCCGCTTTAGGTAGTTTATCGCTGCATTAAGGAATAAACGCTCCATATTAAATTTGAGGTGTAGAAATTTGTTGAGTGGAAGAACGAAAGCCACGTTTAATTTAGATCTTTAACATTAAACAAGCTGTAGAATTAAGCCTCATTTCAGTACATTTAGTAAATGTACAACATGTAGCCTTAATTATATTGCTAATTAAAACAAGTTTAGTGCTAATTAGAATACGTTTATTTTCAGGATTTTTTCAAAGATGAATTTGTGGTTTTCAGCGAAGGTGAAGACAGACTGGAAATCAGTGTTCGTCTCGTTAATTATAATAAACTTTTTTTCTTCTGAAATTCCTCGTCAGGACGATTAAATTAGCTGAAAAGAGCAGCGTCTTTTTTCCACTGGTGTTCGACTTGTTGAAGCTAGACATGGAGATACTAGAAACATCTCAGGTGTCAGACAGAGAGAGAGGACTGACAGACACATTCATTGACATGCTTATAACAGTTCTTGCTTTAAAGTTAATCAACACAAAAATCGCAAACTAACTATATAAAGAGAATACATTAACAGAGAGTGGTTAAATTTTATCTGTAAATTGCGCTGTGTAATATCTGTATTGCTGTCGAGTAATTTAGAAATGTTTTAAAATCCTCTGTTTAAGTAGAGAGAGATGCATTGTTATGCTACCGGAAATTGTGAAGTTTTTTCACGTTGAGATGAATTGTGATGATTTCATAACAAAGAAATATTTGTTATTCGCATGTATAGAAGGAAGAATTGACATTTGATGAATCTATGCTTTGTCATGACAAATAAGGGAAAGGATGGAGTTTCAAGAATGACTTGCAAAGGGTGCATGAAAAATTGAGTACCGCATGATATAAAAAATAAATGTATATTTTTAGATTTTTCTTGATATATCTGTCATTAATATGCAAGATGGTAACTTACACGACCCTTGAAGTTGTTCACACGAAACACAGTCCACCTCGACGGTGTCACTGTAACTGTGTGATCATGTAGTCTTATTGTTTGAGTCTGCTGTTCAACTTCTTGTGTGATCCCTCTAGCATTACAGGTAATCATGGTGTCATCCATTCATCACCTCACCGTATGAAATCTTTCAACCACCGGCCCACACTGTAACTCCATGATGATGGTATCTTAAACGATATATCACGGAACACAAATACACCTATTAAACGCTGTATACTCAAAGTTATGCAATATACGGACACCGTGCAATGGTACCGTGCTCCCCACCTCAAGAACTTTATTCCTCAGTACTGGTCTGTATTTAAACCTCGTCAGCAACTCTAAGTCATTGAATTTTTTCTTTGTACTTTCCAACAAATTTTCTTGATAAAATACATTGAATGTTATTTTTTCATCAATTGATAATCCATTTAAGCTGCTGAAGTGATTATTTCACTGTATATATAATATATATATATATATATATATATATATATATATATATATATATATATATATATATATATATATATATATATATATGCATATATATATATATATATATATATATATATATATATATATATATATATATATATATATATATATATATATATATATAATATGAGTGTTTTCGATTGCTCCTCAATAATTGTGGAAATGGTGACATACTTGAGACGAGGTATTTTTCCCGTCCCTTCCAAAACACTGGAGAATTTACCTCTCAAAAATGAAAAGGTGAAAGTTATTTGATAGAGGCTGAGCATGTGTATATCCATTTTGTGAGCTTAACTGTCGACTGTTACCAGCGACAATTGCATGAGAACATGCTTGTGGCATGCTAAATCGAAAAATTATTAGCTAAATTGATATACATAGTGTATATATATATATATATTAATATGTAGTTATATACATATATGCATATTCATGAAAAAACTGGGCGACCAAATGATCATCTAACAGGAAGAAAGTGGGTGAGTAAGGTGATGCAGGAGATGAAGAAGGCTTGAAACACCATTCTCACAGCACTGGAGGTCTCTTGGGTTTCTGCTGTGTGTCCCCGGCGCTGGACGGCTGCCACAGTGTCCCCTGCTGTGGAAGACATCAGTGGAAGTTAGTGTCTGATAACCTAGCTGCTTGCATAGTTGATGTTGTCGTGATACTGCTGTGTTGACGTGTTCGTGATACTGATGTGTTGACAAGTTTTAATTGATGTGTTTGTCATATTGCTGTGTTGACATGGTTTTAGTTGGTGTTATATGACTGTGTTGACAGGATTTGAGTTGATGTGTTTGTAATATTGCGATGGTTTTTGTTTTTGTTGAGGTGATGAGTTCATTGTATTGCTATGCTGGCTGCTCTTATTGTTCCTCTCATCATTATAGTGCTATATATTGGTTGTTATTTTTTGAGTTTATATGCAATTGTGTACTGCTGGGTAAACTGATTTTTTGAGTTGTGTTTATTGTATTGCAGTGATGGGTGGATTTTCATGAGAGGTACATTGTATTGTTACGTTCACTATAATGTTTTGGCTCAAGTAGTCATTATATGGCAATGTTTAAAGTCATATTTGACGTATTTGTGTTATGTTGTGTCCCTCATGTCTCACCATCAGTGTCTCAGTTTGAATGGCTGTGAACGATGGGACCTGCAAAATGTTGACGTTGGCCAGCCGAATTGTGTTTGCTGGAAATTGTCAAAACTTATCATTAGGGGGTCCATCTTGGCACCCATTACAACTTTGCTACCTGGCCTGGCACCAGTCCACACCAACATTTGTAGAAATAATTTACGAACGAATAACACAGTTTCTCACATTTTCACGAACGAATAACACACTTTCCCACATTTCACGAACGAATAAATTACGAAATAATTTACGAATGAATAACACACATTTAAACAACACACTTTTATCTTTAGGAAACCACCTATCCAGTTTATAGCCCTCTTTTTTCCCTCATGCACAAATGCCTTTACCATTGGTAACTGATTCTTATCCTTTTATAGAGATGTTGACATGATTGAAACACGAATTAAGAGTGATGAGGATTAGAGTTCAAAAGATCTGAAAGACATGTTAAAACATGGAACTGGAGGAACAGGTAAACATCTAGCTTGATCCCTGATATTGTTACGACAATGCAATCACAGAGAGGATTTGTTGACAAACAATATCAATCAGTGTGATAAGCAAATTAGAGCCTGGGAAACCTTTGAATTTGTTGGTGTAATGTTCTGTATTATAGTTGTATATGATGTATAATGTAATAAAAAAGGTGTAAACATTTGTTCTATATTAGAGGGAAGAGGGAGGGGGGGGGGGGTATCCGTCATTGCCCGGGTCTCTGTGTGCCTCCCATCTGCCCATCTACATATCACTCCATACATAGTTGATGTTATCGTGATATCTATCTACTTATCTATCTACCTACACATCATTCAACTTAAGTATTCATCCATCCATCCATCTCTTTCCCCATGGGTAAGAATGCAGGATATATATATATAAAAATAAATATATATATATGTGTATATATATATATATATATATATATATATATATATATATATATATAATATATATTTCTATTAATATATTTATTTATTTATTTCCGTAACAACTGTTACGGAAATAAAGGGATAATCAAGTATTGGATACACTTCGTTTTATAGTTACTCACTAGAAGTGAAATATGGCAACGATGATTCGCCAGTTAATGTTCGCTGTCTGCTGTGCGAATGAGATGTATTCGGTAAATATCTCTCCCACAATATGAGCGAAAGTTCAGCTGTCGACCCGCAACACACACACACCTGGCAACATAAAATTTTCAATACTGACACCGAAATTAATTTTGTGGCGTGAATTTTTTGTATGAAAGGTTGGTGTGATGAACGAAACGTTTTCCGTCATTAGAATGTGTGGTTTAATGTTGGTCTTCGGCCTATGAAGCTCTGAAGGGTAATTAAGACCTCAACACTGCCTGACTGACTAACCAGTAAGTATATACTCTAACTTCCAGCGAGTATACTCTAATTCCCAGCGAATATATACTTTAATTTTGGATATATTTCAGTACTAGCGTGAAGTCTCAGGATCTATATAGCGATTTAAGTGTTATAATGTCCGGAATGTATATATCATTGTTATTTTTGGGGGTTATTTTTGTATACTTTTCCATACACAAATACACTGACGTTCATTCTTTCAGTTTGACCTATTATTATGCTTAATAAAACTAACATTATTATTATTATAGTAATAATAAAACTAATATATTCATTTAAATACTGCACTGCATTGTTTCATATGTGCAATAATATATATTGTGTCAATCCATCCAAATGTATTGTGCATTTTTGAAATTGCAATAGAGAAAGCACATGCATATTCAATGCCTAATCCATAATATAGTGAAACAATCGACAAAAAATGTTGATAACCCCCTCAATATACTGTTGATTTAACAGAATCCAATATATATATATATATATACATTCGTTGTCGATGTGACTGATAAAGAGGATTTTTGTGTAGTAGTATTCCTTAGATAACTTTTAATAATATTGTCAATATGATAATAACAGGATGGCAGTGTGTGGATTGCTCAGTCAATGCTTTCCTCAATGTCAGAATTATTATCAGATATATTTCTTTCACCTGGGCTCTTGGAGACTCGAACTGTGAACCCCACGATTGTGAGGCCAAAGATCAATCGACCGAGCTACTGAGTGGTCTTAATAGGGATTTTATCAGTTATATCTTATTTGGAAGATATTCTAAAGTTACTAAACAACTATACAGGCTTCGAAACGTTGCCGAGTTCCACATGTGTTGATTAAACAGCATAATGTTAAGTAAAGTAGCGCTTTGTGGTTGGAAAGTTAGTGACAATAGGTCCTTGTGCGTGTATGGGCTTCCACACAGTCAGGGAAACTTGTGTGAATATGTTCCAGAGTTGAATGGATGGAGATCGGTTGGGGGGGAGGCAGGGGATTGAGAATAGAAGGGGAAATGTGAAGGAAAGGGAATAGTGGGGCTTAGGAACAAGGAACTCCTCATTATGGGTCAGAGTTTGGAGGTGTATGATGGTTCTGATTAACTGTTCGAAAGTACCTAAGAGTTCTGTTTTGATTTCCTGTTTACGGAGCTGATTAAGAGTTTTGAGCTCTTCTGAATGAATTATGACCTTGAGCATTTCAGAAGGGGATGAGTGCTTGCGTGCTCACTGACTGAACACGTTCATAGACACACTTGGGTTCCTGGATCACTGCAATTATTGATGCAATCCACAAAAAGGGGTTACAACATTGGTTACATGCAAGGTACAAGGCTAGATATCACAGATTGTCAAGTTCCTCCAGCTCCTCAGATTATATACATATATATATATATATATATATATATATATATATATATATATATATATATATATATATGTCGTACCTAGTAGCCAGAACGCACTTCTCAGCCTACTATGCAAGGCCAAATTTGCCTAATAAGCCAAGTTTTCCTGAATTAATATATTTTCTCAAATTTTTTTCATATGAAAAGATAAAGCTACCCATTTCATTATGTATGAGGTCAATTTTTTTTTATTGTAGTTAAAATTAACGTAGATATATGACCGAACCTAACCAACCCTACCTAACCTAACCTAACCTATCTTTATAGGTTAGGTTAGGTTAGGTAGCCAAAAAAGTTAGGTTAGGTTAGGTTAGGTAGGTTAGGTCGTCGAAAAACAATTAATTCATGAAAACTTGGCTTATTAGGCAAATCGGGCCTTGCATAGTAGGCTGAGAAGTGCGTTCTGGCTACTAGGTACGACATATATATATATACTAAAATCTCCACACGTTACTCCATATACAAATATTACAATACTAAAACCTTTACATCCTTAGTTAGAGTAGGCCATAAAAATAGTCTAACGGCTTACAGTAATTTCACATTTAACAAAATAATAGCATTGTTCAAAATGCTGATATTCGGCCGTATTTTCTATCGGGGTCCGAACAACAATTTCATCAGAGAGTTATTCAAGAGTAAGACCCCCTTTGGGAACCGTTCTCTCTCTCTCTCTCTCTCTCTCTCTCTCTCTCTCTCTCTCTCTCTCTCTCTCTCTCTCTCTCTCTCTCTCTCTCTCTCTCTCTCTCTCTCTCTCTCTCTCTCTCTCACACAAGTCAAGCCTGGCACCGGGCCGGGCTTTGGGAGTAGAAGAACTCCCAGAATCCTATCCAGGTACAATCCAAGTGCGGTTACGCTGTAGCTGAAGACACGTCAAGGCTATATAGGTACTCTTGGCGGATGGCACAGTACCTCATACACTAAGATTTCACCTCCATCCCGCAGAGTGCATGAAATTACTCGATCATCATCCAACTCTGCGTACTAGTGCTTCCCTCTCCTGCTTCACCGGTATAAAAACTAACTAATCTGCCTACGTTCTTCTCCTTTAATGTAACTTAGGTCAGGTCCTTTTGCGTGGCTTGATTGCATGGGATGATTTAATTGTCTGTAATGGGTCCAGAAGACTTTTCCATCCAGCCTTTTTCCTGAACTTTAAATTAGCACTGTTAACCCGGTTCAGCGAACCCATCTTCTCTAAGCTCGTATTAGAGCCAAATAGTTTAACCTCACCAATACAGTACCTTACATCATATGCTAATCACTGCATATCTTCAGTCAATTTATACACCCCATTAATTATTCAATAGGAAAGTGAACAAACTGAAAACAAAGTTTTTCATATATATGCATATATATACATACATAAAACTATTAATATATATATATATATATATATATATATATATATATATATATATATATATATATATATATATATATATATATATATGGAAGGGAGTACCACCTCTAGCTGGAAGAAGGGGGACCCATAGCCTCGGAGGAAACCACGCATAACGCATTAGAGGGAATGTTTAGATCCCCTCCAATACAGTTTCTGTGTGCTTTTCTCCTACCACCCGCTTCCTTTTTTATTTTTTGTGCTTTATTATGCATTTGATGGTTACAAGAATATATATATATATATATATATATATATATATATATATATATATATATATATAATATTATATTATATTGGTAGCAGTCTTTTTTGCAAACATATGTTGAATAGAATATGACCGAAAGGGTAAGATTAATGATGCTAACAGGAATTATTTCAATATTTATGTTTTCCTTCACTGTCTTGGAAAATTTAAAAATTAACTCTCCAAAGTTTGTTTTTGGACTTTGAAAACCAGTGGATGAATAGCATAACATAGGGAATATTAATAGGGTATTATATGTATGTAATAATATAGATAGGGTAGATAGGATGGGTATGAGGGTCCACTAGCTGCCATATACCAAAAAGAGGGGTATGAGGATGATAATGAATTAAATAAAGTAACTTTTCTTCATGTAATCACTTACATCTCTTATTGTAAGCTTAATCCTTTACTGTCGTTTTCCCCCTTATAACTTTTGCAACAGCTTGGGCAGACATTCACCTTTTGCCGCAATATCATTTAAAAAAAAAACTCCTGCTGCTGTGTCCCGACTCTGCTTCTTTATATATTTATCAAAGTAATTTTCTTATTATGTTCACCTCTGTGCACTCTCTACTGACCCATGGGATAATCCCGTTAATTTCCTTGGCTTTACTACAGAGCAGGACGTATTTTTCCCTCAGTCTTTGCATATTTTTGTACAACATATTTCATCTCAATCACTGCCTTTCCCTTTGTCTCTTTTCGTAAGACTTCGTTCATGGTATTATTCATTAGCCTTCGCTTATTTATAGTCTTTTGAAAGCTTAAGTTCGTTTATATTTTTAGTAAAGTATCTATTATTTATTCATTTGTTAATTATCTAAATAAGACCTTATGCACTCGTTTGAAGTCTAAAAAGAAGGTAATTGTACGTTGGTTGTTTGAAGAAGTAACTCGGATATCTTTAGTCTTAATTAAGCAAGAATTTGTTTCTGGTCTTACAAAAGTCTTTCTTCGACTATCAATAGTCTTACGAAAGTCTTTGTTCGTCTATTTTTTTTAACAAGTATTACGATTATATACCGTCTTAACACATATTTCGAACGTTTAGACTCTTAAAGTGTTCGTTTGTCTCTTATCTCCCCTGAAGAGCAGCTCCAGCCACTCTTCCAACCCCACTCAAGGGTCTGTTCCTCTCCTCCGGTTGGACAATGGAGTCGAGTACAACTGTAGAGTGGTGGCACTAGCTTCATGCATGTCGGTGTTCAATCCCCGATCGTCCAAGTGTTTGGGCACCATTCCTTCCCCCCTCCCACTGTCCCATCCCAAATCCTTATCCTGAGCGCTTCCCAGTGCTATATAGTCGTAATGGCTTGGCGCTTTCTTCTCATAACTTTCTCCTTCCCTCTGTGCAGCTTATTGTGGGTTATTTTGTCTCTGTGCACCTTATTGTGGGTTATCTTGTCTCTGTGCACCTTATTGTGGGTTATCTTGTCTCTGTGCACCTTATTGTGGATTATCCTGTCTCTGTGCACCTTATTGTGGGTTATCCTGTCTCTGTGCACCTTATTGTGGATTATCCTGTCTCTGTGCACCTTATTGTGGGTTATCCTGTCTCTGTGCACCTTATTGTGGGTTATCCTGTCTCTGTGCACCTTATTGTGTTATCTTTTAAAATATGAACCTTATTGTGGGGTAAATTTTTGGTCGGGTGTTGCTTGTTTGCTCATTTCGTCTTACTGTATCTCAACCCATATATTTTTCTTCGGTGCTTTTTTTTCTGTGTGTGTGTATGTGTGTGTATGTGTGAGCAGAGAATAGGCCCCAATAACTATGCTGTAAAGAAACCAACCAAGCCACACATGTAAATGAAATTGGCAACGTTTCGCTCTATCCTGAACACTAATGCAGTCTACGTGACAACGGTCCAGGACGGTTCGAAACGTCGTTACTTTCATTTACATAGAAGTGTTGGTCTATCTGAGTCTACATCTTTTACAATTTACGTCTGTTTAACTTTCTATTTTATTTCATAATGTTGGACAACATATATATTTCACAACTTCACGTGTATATATGTCACCAGATTTATTTACAACATTCAGGCTGAAAAAGACGCAGAATCTTGTGACGGAGGACTAAGGTGCGTAAAAAACATCTGTTTATAAATAACAGATGCGCAGAAAGCCATTAAAATTGCAGTCAATTTTTATGAAGGACGGAACGTGTTGTTCGATACGGCTCTGGCTTTGGCCCCACACACGCCTTCCCCCTCTCTCCTACTGTTGAGGAAAATTGGATTGATCTATTATTTAGTTCGGACGTGTCCGCGGTTGGACTTCCTCACTGGACTGACCTACGGAAGATATACGGCTCTGGCTTTGGCCCCACACACGCCTTCCCCCTCTCTCCTACTGTTGAGGAAAATTGGATTGATCTATTATTTAGTTCGGACGTGTCCGCGGTTGGACTTCCTCACTGGACTGACCTACGGAAGAACTCTTTCACTGGACTTAAACTCTCTGTAAATGTTTTTGCTGTTAAATAAATTGGATTTGTGTTTGTCAAGCTTTCACCACAGCTTAACACAGTTTAATTCCAGCGACTGTGAATGATAAGCCTGTCTTTAGAGCTTCGCTTTCCCTTGATCTCGGGAGTTTGATGATAAAATGGTCGATGAAACAGTCAGGTCTTGTCTAATATGCGTAGCTGAGTGCGAATTTACTATTATTTATATTTGGTAATATTATCTCTGAACTACTGATTTATTATGGGGGAATCAACCAGAGATCTTAAACACTCCGACTACCACCTCCCTTCCTCCCTCCAACTACCATCACCCACTAACAGCCTGGTAGTTAACAGAAAGGAAATGAATTACGGAAGAAAGTTGACGAGATGTGCTTAAGAGAAACGTCCTCAGGTTCACTGTCAATACGGTGAAGCTGGGGTCATGACTGTGTCTCATGGTGGTGTTAGTGATAATATGGAACGGAAATCATCATAGAAAAGCCGAGACGTGAAATAAATACACGGTAGTCAATTTCGACTCGTATTGTTAAGGAATTAGGTAAAAAAAAGGCAAAACTCCCAACCTTCGATCTCCCATCAACATAATGGTGACCTCAAGTAGTTATTAAGACATTTCAGGTCACCTGGACAGCCACGTGAAACATACAAGCTGATGAGGCCTTTCAGGCGGAACTCTGTATGAATACCGGATGGAGAGCATCTAATTTAAAGCCAGAGGGTCCTCATATAAAGTTGGGACCAGCCTCCGCTTAAAGGTGGATGGTTGGGCTGCGACAAAGTGGCCGGAACCGAGTGAATTAGTGTGACTAACTGGGCTTCGTATCACTTACTTAATCACACCAAGCCGCTCCTTACATTTAGATACACTACAAGCTACAGCCTATGAAGAAGAGCGAGTTTACATTCATATAGAAATGTGTAGAAACAAGTGCATCAAAGGTGGCATTTTGGCACACATTCTGCATGTGCCAATGTTGCACATTAATGCATTAACATTTTACTTGAAAAATTTCCAACTTGACTAAAATTAGATAAACAAAAATGAATATTAAATCATCCATCTCTCTTCAAGGCAACTTTGAGGGTCAGTGGTAACCTGTAGGTGGGGAGGAACTTTAGCCAGTGGTAACCAGTAGGTGGGAGGAACCTTACCTTCGGTGACGTAGACGAGGACAAAGGCAGGCTCGACGTTGGGTGGTACACAAGAGTAGTTCCCAGAGTCCCAACTCCTGCAGGCAGAGAGTACGTGATAGTCAACATGGCCAGCATGTGGGACATTGTAGAGGACAGGCAGACAGACAGACAGACAGACAGGCAGACAGACAGACAGGCAGAAAGACAGACAGACAGACAAATATATACTATATAAAAGCTACTCTCTACTCTGGTCCTTCCTTTAAAACGACACAAAAAAGCAAAATGAAGAAAAATCACATCTAGTAAAATTCTGAGTTGAAGTTCCAAGGCCCATCAATAAATCACATTATGTAATTAAGATAAACTTCACACTTTGTTATGGGAGCCACAATCATTAACATCTTTGAAGCGTTCCAACTTGGCTGTATCAGTTAAGCTGAACTGCGCCAAACTTAAGTTTAGTTCTCCACGAGACGTTTCCACGTGAAATACAATACGGGGTCGGAATAAGCAGGTAATTAAAGCTGACTCCTATAGTTGGTTATGGATAATGAGCGAATGTTTAAATGTTTGTTATGACATAAAGGTTTTATCCAAAAATATGCATTTACAGTATAGTCTTTGTGTGTGTGTGTGTGTGTGTGTGTGTGTGTGTGTGTGTGTGTGTGTGTGTGTGTGTGTGTGTGTGTGTGTGTGTGTGTGTGTGTGTTTGAGTGTGTGTGAAGGGTGTGAGTGTGAAGGGTGAGGGGATTAAGACGACGACTGGTGTTCACTACCATCTGCTCACTGGAAGCCCTGATGAAGTACATTACCTACAGAACTTGAGTAAGATTTAATTTACCACAACTCAGTTTTCATGGCACTCGGCTCTCTCGTGTTCCTGAAGGAACACCGTGGCCAGGGTTCTTGAAGGAAGGCCGTGACCAAGCGGGCTGTTGTTTGGAGCGTTCAGCCACAGGACATAATGATGTGTTTAAAGCAGCCATTGTAGCGCCGAGAATGTAGCAATACAATGCCATAATGGCAAGTTGAATTTAGCTGGGATATTGTGCTGACAATAATGCTCATTAGTTAGCCATATTGAGAAACTTTTCCTTCGTGTGGGACCCTAATGGTTCAGGCAGTCTTCATAGACATGTTTATGTCTGTAAACATGTTCTTGACCAGTGGCTGGTTTTGGCTTGGTAGCCAAGTAGTAATGACCAGAAAAAATAAGACTGAAAAATATTGCGTTTAATTTGATACACAATTTTTTTTTAAATAGAATTAGTTGAAACCATTCGCGGGTTCCTGAAAATTTACTAAAATTTATGGGATTATATTTTTCAAAGCAGTGAGAACAAGTAATTTATATATTACAACCATTCTCTGAGGTGAAATCTAACTACTGTATTAAAGTAATTTTCAAGGAAATTTAACATTGCCTACTTTAACCAGGATTTTTGTATTTATTTATTTATGTTCTTCGTAAACTTAAATCTCGTTCTCTGTTGAAAATGTTTGTGGTAAAATAAAAATCCTTTGGTTATTTCAAGAATATACAACATTAAGGACAAGGAAGTATGTGTAGAATTATGAATACAATCGGGCCTTAACAAAACCGCGAAACGTTGTTCACCAAATAAATATTCCATTCGTATATTCACTCGGTAATCGAACCCATTTATTCGCAACATGAAAGCAAATATATTGAGTTATATCTTCCGACTGCCATATCTTTATAATAATTTTTATGTTCGTGTTCTTACCTTGCATCAATGATGGTGAGGCGAGAGTGAGTCCTGGTGCCCTCCACCTTGGTGATCACGCTAAGACGGTGACTGCCACTGTCGTAGTTCACCATTTTTTCACCATGATACCAGAAGACGAAAGGTGGCTTGCTCTGAGGATTGTGAGTTATCTGGGTGTTAGAAAGGAGGTGTTTGTGGCTTACTCTGGGAACTATGAGGCAGCTAGGTGTTCATGGAGGTTTCTGTGGGTAACTCTGGGGACTTAGGAAGCAAGTCCCCAGAGCTTAGGAAGCTTGGTATCAGGAGGAGTTCTGTGGGTCAGTGAGGATCGCCAGGAAGCCTGGTGTTAGATAATTGTCTGGGATCACTCTGGGGTTCAAGGAAGTTTGGTGTTAGATACGTGTCTGGGATCACTCTGGGGATCAAGGAAGTTTGGTGTTAGATACGTGTCTGGGATCACTCTGGGGATCAAGGAAGTTTGGGGTTAGATACGTGTCTGGGATCACTCTGGGGATCAAGGAAGTTTGATGTTAGATACGTGTCTGGGATCACTCTGGAGATCAAGGAAGTTTGGGGTTAGATACGTGTCTGGGATCACTCTGGGGATCAAGGAAGTTTGGGGTTAGATACGTGTCTGGGATCACTCTGGGGATCAAGGAAGTTTGGGGTTAGGTACGTGTCTGGGATCACTCTGGGGATCTAGGAATTTTTTCTCCAAATAAATCTTACCATTGCCGATATCTTCCTCCCGCCTTCTATTAAATAGAAGTCTTTAATTACCCTTCTTTTTTACCTTTTATTACTTTTAGGTAATAAAGGTAATTTTTTTTTAGCATCTAATAAAAGTAAAAGTACCTAATTTTAGGAATTTTTTGAGTACCTTTATTTTTAAGGAAGACTTACTCTCAGGTAACAATTAATCTTGAGGTAACACAAGACTACACAATTTTCATTTTATTATAGGTTTAAGGTCAATCAGTTTTGGAAAGGTTGGTAAAGTTGTGAGTATATCTTACTGACCAACAGGCAAGTTTACAATGGTCATAAATATAGTCCTGTACTAAAGTAAACTGTGTGTATATTCCGAGATGCGGAATAAATCTGTCCCTGTATTTATCTCTTGAATAAATAATATTTAATTAGGAAAATATTTATCAAAGATTAAAATTTTGAAAATATATATATAATTATGACATATAATATATATCAAGGATTTGCTGTAATCATTTTATTAATAGATTCCTCTCTGAAAATTTGTGTTGCTTTTAATAATATTAACTATTAAAACAATATTTTTTTTCAAAACTAAAGTGGTTTATAATATTCAGATAAGTAAAAAAAAATCATAAACTCAAAATATATAAATCTGACAAATTTCACTTCTGCCTCGATGTTGCCATCTGACACAAATTAGGTTAATTTAGCTGCAAATATGTCAATTTTTGGTCGAATCCTGAATTATAATTTGGTCTCTTTGTTACTTATGTCTGAGTTTGCAAGCGTTAACGGACGTCTGTCACACAATGAGCTTGTGGAGTCGACAGTGCCTCTGGGCACGACACACAGTTTATGTATTAACATTGTAACTATAACCACAAATGAGATTTCATTTAGAGTGTCTCAGTAATGTAAAATTTTGTTGAATTTATTCAAAATCAGCGTTTAAGTGTAGTTATATAGCACCATAGACTCCTGATGAAAGGATAGTAAGTATAGTCTACGTTTGGGGCAACACATTGAACATTTAACATTTAATACAATTGATAAAAATGACTCGCTTTAGGTAAAGGATATTATGCATAATAAACTCCATGGAGCGCCAAGGCAAGTTTAGAATTACGCTAAAATGTCAAAATATGTGTTTTTTGGGGGGGCCAGCGAATCGTGCAGCTTAATGTCTGGGGATAGTGCGAATTATATTTGCACAAAGTTAAAAACTCTGGCTGAGTTCAGTAATCCCCGTGATCATCACAAAACGCAGTAGCACTGACTTAACCAATAAATCCGGAAGACTTGTTTCTTGAACAAAAGGGGATTAGAGTTTAATTCCGACACGCATCCTGATTCTGTTGTTTCTCTACTTTAAAAACATCATATTGCTTAAATTAAAACTTAAAACTATTGCTTAAATCCAACCATTATCCAATCCACATTTCCTCTCTATTTACCGAGCCACTTGACTACAGAAATGTTAGGAAATACACGAGAAAAAGCAATAGCGAAATGCATGCAATACTGTTAAATAATTAGTTTTTTTTTCTTTTACTGTGTGAATTACGCCTGTGCAGCTTTGGCTTTCCTCCTGAGTGAAGATGATAGGTGTGAATTCAAAAAAGAATTCACTTCATTGACTTCATTGATGTCGCAAATGACAGAGTATTCTACCTAATGAGAGAATTGAGTGTCACGCACCTGTTGTATGACACAAAATGACAGGTGAAGCTAACAATGCTGGGTGGTACATTAGCAGGTATTCGCCCACATGCTGGATGACTGCCTCAGATCAATGGTGTCACCCAGAACTGTAAGACATAGACAGAGGTGTCGCCTTTCAACTGGATGACACAGATAACGGGGTCACTTGCCTGTTGGATGTCACAAATAAGGGTGTTGCTCCCCCCACCCTCATATTGGATGACACAGATTAGGGTGCCATCCTCTTAAGGGTGACATATAAGGGTGTCACCCCATGCTGGATGACACACACAAACTTCCACCCACCTGTTGGATGACACACACAAGCTTCCATCCTCTTGCTGGATGAGACACACAAGCTTCCACCCACCTGCTGGATGACACATACAAACTTCCACCCACCTGTTGGATGACACATACAAGCTTCCACCCACCTGCTGGATGACACACACAAACTTCCACCCACCTGCTGGATGACACATACAAGCTTCCACCCACCTGCTGGATGACACACACAAACTTCCACCCACCTGCTGGATGGTACACACAAACTTCCACCCACCTGCTGGATGACACACACAAACTTCCACCCACCTGCTGGATGGCACACACAAACTTCCACCCACCTGCTGGATGACACACATACAAGCTTCCACCCACCTGCTGGATGACACACACAAGCTTCCACCCACCTGCTGGATGACACATACAAACTTCCACCCACCTGCTGGATGACACACACAAACTTCCACCCACCTGCTGGATGACACAGATGAGGGTGATGGTGTCACCCTCCTGCACGTGCAGCTCCTGAGGCCCGAGAATGGCAGCACGTGGCGTGTGTACGTGAAGGTTGACGAACTGAGACAGCACGCCCGTCCCCGTGTACATCTGTCGGAGAGACGGGCACGCAGCGTCAATAAAACGACACCAAACAGGATTAGTTACAATGCAATTCAATAAAGCGAACTGCGGATGTTAGAGAATAAAAAATTCAGGAAACTAGGCAGTTTACAGTTTGAGGTTTTATAATAAAAACCTAAATAATAATAATAATAATAGTTGATGTCGAGGTTTTAAAATAATATATTTGTTTCCAATTTATTTTTTTATATTTAAAGTATGTGAGTGTTACGTTATATTACTGTGTGTTCATAGCTGTTATGAAGGTGTGACGGATCTTCCTGCCAGTATAATTCAGCTGGCTACAGAGACTTGGCCTTCACCTGGTTACAGGGACTTCCCTTACAGATTACAAGGTTGGAGGCCAGACATTTAAGGCTAGCGTTACTCAAATTTGTAAGAGGAATGGTCTGGGGAACAGGACGGACATAAGCTGATCGGGGTAAGCCTAAGGTAAATGATTTAAAGAATATTATAAATTTGTCGCACCCACCCTGATCAACCAGGCTGTGACTTATACGTCAGGCTGCGAGCAGCCGCGTCCAACAGCCGGATTGACCAATCCAGCAACGAGCTGGTCTGGTCGACGACCGGGCCGCGGGGTCGCTAAGCCCCGAAATCACCGCAAGGTAACCTCAAGGTAACCCATTGGAGTCTCACGGATTCATTTCTGGTCGTGTTTGAAATATTGGCTGAGATGCCCATAGAGTTTTTAATCATAAAAATTATTTCCCTAAATCCATACAGTACTTTCTTTGCTCTTTAACATTCTATTTTATGAAAGGGAAGGGAGGAAAAACAGCGGGTGAGAGAGGGGTATCGGTGGAGGGGGTGAGATGAGGGTAGAGGGGAAGAGGATGAATGAGGGGTAAGAGGGAAAGTGAGGAGAATGAGAGAAAGGGAAAGAGGCTACCCTGGTACCCATTATATTGATCTATCTCTATAGCAGAGAAAGTGTGTGATTTTCTTTCTGTCTGAGGTTAGAGCACAAATACTTGGAAGCACAGATACTTAGAGCTAGTCTCATTAAACTTTGTAGGATTAATCGTAATTTTATAAGGAGTGCCATAGGCGGGTCAGAGACTACCCAGTTCCTCCCTGAAGGAAGGCACGGCCGCCAATACCCATAGTCAGCAAGTCTGGGAATGTGAAAGTCCGCGCGCCAAGTCCGTAGACTTTAGCTTTGAAATAATAATGCCTTCAGATATTGACTTTAAAAACGTATGTTCAGACGATAGTTTGTGCTCTGGGTGCCACTATTTATTACAGTAATGGAGATGGTATGTTGTAAAAATAGTTTAAGTAATGGGGGACACTGTAAAAGTTGGAGAAGGGGAGGTCTGTGTGCAAGGATGATAGATGTAGTGAGTGTGTGTGTAACGCTCTACACCAGATTACTGTGACGTTCCTCAGCAGATTACTGTGACGCAATTCACCAGGTTACTGTAACGCTCTTCACCACGTTACGGTGACGCTCTTCACGTTACTGTGACGCTCTTCACAAGATACCCGAATCGTGGAAAATATCGTCGAAGTTAATTAGATATAATTTCAAGAAGCCGAAGGAGAAGATATTATCTCTAAGTTCGGCCGAGTCAGAAAAATACTTTTGGTAAGAAATTACCTCTGAAATTGCCAGTGGCAGGTCTTAAGGAGAAAGTTCAAAACGTTGAGAATATATGTCCGAAAATTCAAAAGAAATTAGTCTATATGCTGGAAGAAAACTTGGAACTTATAGAGAGAGAATGAAAATGTTTTCGGAGCGCTCTTCAAGTTAAAAAAAAATAAATGATATTGGGAAAAGAGACACTCTTAAGATGAAGCTCGTATATAGCATAAAATGGTGTGGTAAGAGAGTTTAAAATTTCGGCAAAAATGCGACATCATCTGCAAACGTAACTGAAAATTTTATTTTTCGAAGTAATTCTTCCGTTTAGCGGGACTGAGAATTTGGCGAAGTGAAACTATTTCGGTGATGATAATGACACAATAATGATAAAAGATCCACAGACACAATATGGATAAATCCGTAGACACAATAATGATAAAAGATCCGTAGACACAATATGGATAAAGATCCATGGACGGTATGCAGTGATACACGATTTTAAAGAGGATTTGATGATTTTAAATCTGATTTGATGATGATTTGAACAGCTAGTTCTGACCAATTCAACAGCTGGCTCTGACCAATGCAACCAGCTGTCTCTGACAAAATCTTACCCAAAATATTTTGGGAAGTATATTAATAATTTTAACATCCTTGATCGCAGTTCTCAGTTGACAAGTCACTCATAAAATGAACAATTTCGGAAAATTGAAAAACGTTGTATACCACTCAGCTATATCAATAAAACGTAAACAAAAAAATTGTTTTCCTTGTAACTATCAACGATTTCATTCCAGCTAATAAAAATACAATTTAATTTTTTTTATATCAACATATAGAGGAGATTACCCAGTGATATAATTCAGAGTTTTTCCCCCAGTTTCTATTTGAATTAAAATTAGTGATGCACTTCTGTACAAATCCGAGTCACACTCTGTTTTTTCCTCTATAAGCTTTTTTCCCATAAATAAACAGCCTTGTTGAATCTAATGGTCTGTTTAGTTTTAAATCCCTTGTTAGTCCCTTTGAAATCCTTTTGAATATTATATATTCATATAGGCATGGGGAATTCATATGCTATGATTATACAGGCATATGGTATTCATGTTATAGTAATACAGGTATTATGTATTCATATTCTAGAATAATTATAATTATGTGATGGAAATACATCGACACACATGTTCAATAATACGGAATGTATAGTATACATTATTCATATATCCCAAGTCTTGACTTATGACCTCTTATAACCTTCTAACCTCTTCTCCTATTTCCCCCACCACATTTTCATTTTATTTTAGTTATATATACAAGAGTTCCGACAATCTTGTAAAGACGCTTAGCGTTTTGGGCAGATCCTATATCTTAAATTTCACTGGAATACCACCCGCAAATTGTTTAACAACTCGGTACCCATTCATTGCTGGGTGAACAGAGGCCATAGTTAAGGATTGGTGCCTAGTTAATCCTCCCCGGGTAGGATACGAACTCAGGCCAAATCGCTTGCGAAGTGCTGCTACCACAACGCTATTACGAACCCAACATGATCATGGCATCCACTGTAAATAATGAAAATGTGCGGTAAACTCTACGGACAAAGCAACCACGATTTCATTATACATTTACATTTCGTGTCCATCTTAAATGGTTGGGAGGTGTGGGGGAGGGGTTGGTTTAAAAGCTGATATTTCTTAAAGTATTTAACTTAGAACAACCATACCAGGCGTTTTTCAGTCCCGTAGCGCAGACCATTGTCCCTGGAGAGTTTGGGTGAGGCGTCTGGCCTTCAGCCAGATACGAGGCCTGTTCGACGACCGGGCCGCGGGGATGCTAAGCCCTGGAAGCACTTCAAGGAAACCTCAAGGTAGCCTCGGACAGGCAGAAATTCTCACTCTTAGTACCGAATAGATTTGAGGATTTCAGCGAGTTGGTTCCAAAGATCACAACCTGTGCAAGCGTTGCTCCGATACCACATAACTGTGCAATGTGCTCTGAGATCTGCGAGCGTTGCGCTGACCAGCAACCGATGCTATAAAACAACCGATTTTGTTTTCCTTTGATTTGTATGGAAATGGGGGAGGCGGCCGCTGCTCCACTCTGTCTGTTGCAGAGCAATTAGCTAACGAGGGTTTTATTGCTCATGCGCTCATGTACGAAGCAAGTGCAAAGTGCAACATGCACTTTGCTTACAGTGTTGAGCAGATTGCTCATTGCTTATGTTATTTAGGCTTGTAAAGCTTTGCGTACGAGCAAACACACACACACACACACACAGGCGCACATACGCACAAGCGCGTGTTCACATACAGACAAACACACATAGACACGCACACACAATCGTCATGAGGACTTCAAAAATAAAAATATTCCAGTTAAAGAATGTATTTAATAAATTTACCAGGTAATATTATTTATATAGATATATGTACATAAATATATCAAGAATAAATGTCCACTAACACGCTACAAAGAATATTTAAAAGAAGAGAATTAAGAAAAAGATGTGAAAATCCTCATTAGAATGTCTCAAAATATTATTGGCATTGGAAATCATGCCAGTCTTAAGCCCGGTCTCATTACATGACGAACGTTAAATTTGAAGCAGTTTCCCTAAACTCTAAAACGTACGAATCTGTACGCATTTCAACCACTCGAGGCTGCTGCTTCTTTATCCAAAGTAACGTCAATCTTACGAAGCAGTTTCTTTTATTAGAGCTACGGAATTTTAACGTTGTAGTCGAGACAATAAGCGATGCTCTCTTCAGGTCACTGTGTGTGTGCTAATTAATTAATTTTTTATAATTAATCACATTCATTTTCATTCGCCAGTGTGGGGACTTCCGTAAGCTTTACTTCGTATTTTTAAATACCAAGTTTATTTGGAGTACTTTTAATAGTCATTTGAGTTACATTGTATGTTGCATCGCAAAATTAAATTAATTTTTAATTTTCGAAGCAAATTTTTCATTGATCTCGTTACTAGTGCTATTACCAACGAAAACTATGAAGAAAAAAATGTATTAATTTTTTTAATAAATTATCTACCGGTTACAATAATTACGCGCATTTTTTCAATATATAATTACAAATTAAGAGTTATTCAAAATTTAATCACAATGTTTCACTTTATATTCGATGTTTATTACTGGCACAACAACATCGGTAAATTAAATTCGTTAAATCAAATATTCTCGTTGTACAGGTTCTTGAGCCTATTGGGCTCTGTCATATCTACACTTGAAACTCAGTGTGTGTGTATTCACCTAGTTTTATTCACCTAGTTGTGCTTGCCGGGGTTGAGCTCTGCTCTTTCGGCCCGCCTCTCAACTGTCAATCAATCAACTGTAACTAACTAGAAACTCATTTTTTCCCCACGCACACACCCCTCAGGAAGCAACTCCGTAACAGCTGTCTAACTCCCAGGTACCTATTTACTGCTAGGTAACAGGGGCATCAGGGTGAAAGAAACGTTGCCCAATTTGTTTCCGCCTGGTCCGGGAATTGAACCCGGGCCACAGAATTACGATTCCTGCGCGTTGTCCGCTCAGCTACCAGACCCCTGTGTGTGTGTGTGTGTGTGTGAATTTAATATATCGTACAGATGTTAGAAATATAATTGTCACGTTTCATACTAAAAAACATAATTCTCCAGATTATCCAGCTGCAAGAAATACATAATTATCCTTCAGTAGTTTCCTATTTCGTAATACGACGCCGATATTCAGCGCGTGAAAATAATCCCTTTAATATTTCACCTTCACAAATGAATAATCAAAAGCCTCTGAAGTTATTACCCCTATTATATCATCTTTATTAGAACTTATCACGATGACAGAGATGCCTCCTATTATTTAGTGGATATGAAACTTGCCTTGACATAAATGGCAAAATATTGGACAATTAATTAGCCAGATATTCGTAATGAGATGCTGTAATTAATGGGTAATGGTGCTCCCTATTACGCCTCCTCCCCGACACGCTCCTATTTTGTGCCTGTTACGGAATCTTGCCAAAGCTGCCGTTAATTACTGGTCGATACGAAGACCATCGGATATTCGGGTAAATGAGAAATCGGACGTAGGTTCGAACCCTCGTCACGGCCCTTGGGGATTTGTTCATTTCTGTCTTTACTCTAATGTCTGGCATGTTTATTATGTCTCTTTGTAAATCCGGCCGTAGCTAATTTGCCTGGCATAACTAAGCAATCTGGCGTAACCAATATGTCTAACTTAACTAATATATCTGGCGAAACAAGTTTGTTGTAGCTTTTGTGTCTAGCCTAACCAATATGTCTGGCCTAACCAATATGTCTGGCCTAACCAATATGTCTGGCCTAACCAATATGTCTGGCCTAACCAATATGTCTGGCCTAACCAATAGGTCTGGCCTAACCAATATGTCTGGCCTAACCAATAGGTCTGGCCTAACCAATATGTCTGGCCCAACCAATATGTCTGGCCCAACCAATATGTCTGGCCCAACCAATATGTCTGACCCAACCAATATGTCTGGCCCAACCAATATGTCTGACCCAACAAATTATTACACGTAATCATGTGAATGGAGTTTACTCCAGCACTTATGGAAATGGAACCATAGCGCTCAGGGAAACGGAACAGTGAATCAGTCAGGGAAGACATGACAGCAATCATTCAAGGGATTTAAGAGAAAAATCAGAATTTAAAAGAGGCAGTTTGATTAGAGAATCAGTTTCCGTAAATATTTATGCACGTATGCCACACACACACACACACACACACACACACAGGAGTAACTCACCCTACCAGACGAGTGTCTGAGACTCATGTGAAACGGATGAGTCTCCAAGACTCACTCTCAAAGACTCACCTGGCACTCATAGGTTCCGTTGTCCCGGATCTCAGCGTATTTGATCTGCAACGTCCAGTCGTCGGAGCCATCCAGATGTAGGACATTAAAGCGCTCGTCGCTGGTGTAGGTGTAGATCCCCGTAGTGAGGATATGCCAGTCCCACCGCCTGATCCACGACACCTGGAGGAGCAGGAACGCCTGGGGACAGGGAGAGAGGAGGAAAAGAAAGAGGAGGGTAAGAACAATCATGATCTTAGCAAATATCTTAAGAATGCTGCCTTTCATTCACCTGGGTATTCACATTCACCTAACCACTTGGGTTGAACGGTAGAGCGACTGACTCGCTTCATGCAGGTTGGCGTTCAATTCCCTATCGTCCAAGTGGTTAGGGGGCACCATTCCTTCTCTCCCCGTCCCACCCCAAATCCTAATCCTGACCCCCTTACAAGTGATATATAGTCGTAATGGCTTGGCGCTTCCCCTGAAAACTCCCTGCCCTCACCAGGGCTGTACGGGGTCTCGAACCCTCGACCCCACGAATGTGAGGCCGAAGCTCTATCGACTGGGCTATGAGTAGTCTTAAATAAGGAAAGTTTTATTTTAAGATTGCTGTGTTGAGTTTATTTTATATTTCCTAACAAGACTTGTACAATAAATGGTTATTTTTATATATTTTTTAGAAGCCAAGCGACTAAATTTATTGTTTATAAACTGCAGGATCACACACTAGTGGAAATGATACATTGGCAATGCACCTTATAAACAATGCACATGCAAACGATTTAGACACGACAGATTTTTTTTAAATAAATTAAAATTACCAAATAGATAAAATATAATTAGACCGTAAGACTTGCAGTGGAAACATTTAGGTTAAACATTCATTTATATCAAGGAAAATAACTAATAATATTCTGACGAAAAATATATATATATATATATATAATATATATATATATATATATATATATATATATATATATATATATATATATATATATATATATATATATATATATATATATATATATAAATAATATGAGTGTCCTGAGTGTGTGTGTGTGTGTCTTCAGTTTGTGTATGTGTGTCATGAGTGTGTGTGTTTTCTGAGTGTGTGTGTGTGTGTCTTCAGTTTGTGTGTGTGTCCTCAGTGTGTGTGTGTGTGTGTGTGTGTGTGTGTGTGTGTGTGTGTGCGCGTGTGTGTGTCCTCAGTGTGTTTGTGTGTGTGCCCTGAGTGTGCGTGTGTGTGCCCTGAGTGAGTGTATGTGTGTCCTCAGTGTGTGTGTGTGTCCTCAGTGTGTATCGTGTGTGTGTCCTGAGTGGTCCATTAGTGTTCTCATAACTAGTATATGTTAATTATATGTAGCATATAACAAAATTTCCTAATCATACTGCTATACTTTCTCATTAATTAATAATACCTCACATTTTGCAAAGGCTTAATAGTTTTTTTTAATTAAAGAACATGTCAAATTTACTGCAGATATTCTAACGTAATTTTACAGCACTAACTCAACAGGTGAGGGAATTCAAACGTATATAATTTATAAGTGTCAAGATAAAAATTAACAGAGCGAAGAAATAAAGTTAAACAGCTGAAAGATATGACGGGAAACGAGTTATTTGATGTAAAGAAAAAATTGAAAATACTCGCTAGGGGATTGTTCTAAAAAAACGTGTTTAAAAATATTAAAATGAACCGGTTAAGTCTGAAATGCTTGTGATTAGAGAATGGTCATGAGAATATAAGAAATATTTGCATGTAGTTCAATATCTTACATGAAACAGTTCCACTTATTACTATATGTAATGTTCGCTATCTTCGTGATCTCCTTAAGATAAGTGAAACCCCCACACAATTGGGGCAACTATCACGTCATATTTATGGCTGAAAATTGCCAAAAGCAAATGGCCTTTCCTACTAGATTTTCATGGTGCGAAGCTGCCAGTGTGTACAGGTGTAAAGTCCATTTCTGGTGTGATATTTGTGACTAGAAGCTGTCAGACGTAAAGGGTATTCATTGTATGATATTTGCAGTTGGAAACTGTCAAACGCACACATATGTCAAAGGCACGTAGCCCCCTCCGCTGACGAGCGTGTGTTTGTAAACATGCTTGCATTGTCATTCATGTCAGCTGTGCTTCCTTTATGCCTCTTTGTTCAGAGTGTTGATATTAGATTTGTTCTGTGAAAAGTAGATGTGGTTCAAAAGTAGATATGGTGGACAGTCGTGTGAAACTTAGATATATGATATGGCGGTGACGGTGGTGTATTTACCGATAATGTCTACTGGATCGAGGTGTTAGCTCTTGGACCCCGTCATTTTAATCGTCAGTTGTTTAATGCATGGATTTCACGACCTATTTTCAAGGGATGGAGATTGTTGGGTCTCGAGAGTTTATAGGGTGAGTGTTAATGGGTTCAATCGTTCCTCTGGTCTGTGTTAATGGGGCCAGAGAGGGGATGAAGGGGGTTCGAGACCCCATCATCGCCTCTCTGACCCCCCCCCCCACCACCTCTTCCATTTAGAACTTCGCAGAAAACCTTTTACTTCCCCTTCCTTTCACCCATTTCTTCCCTCTCACCCATTCCTTTCCTCTTACCCATTTTGGCCTAATCTTCTTTTCGTCCTAAACCCTGTCTCACCCTATCCTTACCCCTCACTCTCTCTTCCCCTTTACCTTATTATCGCCGCTTCCCTTCTCCCTACTTCTCACCCCTTCGTCTCACTTATCGTCCGCCTTAGTTATCCCTTCGTTTCGTTAAGGTCATTACCATATCTTCCACTTCATCTCATTTTCTTCCCTACCAATTATATTGTCTCGCCTCATTTCGCTCTCATCATTTCATTTGGGCACCATTCCTTCCCCTCCGTCCCATCCCAAATCCTTATCCTGATCCTTTCCCAGTGATATACAGTCGTGATGGCTTGGTGCTTTCCCCCCTGGCTGTTCCCTTCCCTTCTTATTCGTTACTTGTGCAAGTACCTCCTCCTAATCCTCCTCCTCCTAATCCTCCTCCTCCTAATCCTCCTCCTCCTAATCCTCCTCCTCCTAATCCTCCTCCTCCTAATCCTCCTCCTCCTAATCCTCCTCCTCCTAATCCTCCTCCTCCTAATCCTCCTCCTCCTAATCCTCCTGCCTCATTTCTCATCTACATTAGTTATTGTTCTTACATTTTTGTTTAATTATTATCTCCCTTCCATGAGCATTTTTTGCTCCTTTACCTCATTTCTTCTTTATCCTTATAATCTTCTTCACCTCATTTCTATCCTTGCATCATGTTCCTTTCAACTCATGTTCCTCCCTTTAACTTGTTTCCTCTACTTCTTGATTCTCTCATTACCCCTACAGCTCTCCTCACTACGTCCTCATCTTCACCTCATACTTCCTTATCCTCTATCTACTGCTTCACCTTATTTATTCCTCTCATGCTTTTCCTCATACACGTTGTGTCTTCCTTCTAGTGATATTCTCCTCCTCATTTATTCTCATTATCTTTCTCTTCTTATTTCGTCCAATTTCTTTATCTAGTCACCTAATTTCTCCCATATTCTCACTTTAACTTTAATTAAACACATTCTGTTTCCTTATATTACGAATTTCCTCACAACTCCCCTCTTCTGTACCGTGGCGCAGTGGTAACTCACTCGCCCTGCGCTTCGCGAGCGATTTGGCCTGGGTTCGTATCCTGGCCGAGGAGGATTGACTAGGCGCCAATCCTTAACCGTACGCCTCTGTTCACCCAGCAGTAAATAGGTACCTGGTTGTTAAACAATTTAGCGGGTCGTATTCTAGGGAAAGTTAAGATTAAACTTCTGGCTGAATCTCTATGCAGCATTACAAAAAAGTTAGAACTCTTGTATATATAAATAAAATTAATAAAAACAATTAAAAATCGACCCCTTTTATTTGTTATCTATGAATTAATTTTTTCTTTCACCTGTCATATATCATCAGCTCATCATTCTGTTCTCCCTCTATTTCTCATCTCATCATTCTTCGTGTCACTCTATTAGTAGGCATCCTGCAAGCACGGGAGACCCGAGGCTGAAGTGTCCTCTCCAGGGCGCAAAACCTGGGTAAGTTGATATGCAGGAGAAGCTGTTACCCATGCAGCAGGTCCCCCCCCCCCTCCCCTCTACTCCCTATTATACATTTCTTAATCCTAGTTGGAGAACTTGGATCTTGGACGTGTGTCCGAGACCAAATTTTGTGTTATTTCAAGTAGGAGGTTTTCTTGATAGTTTCGTTGCTCTGAGAAAGATGCGCTTTTGCTCTATAGAGAGATAGAGAACATAGAGAGGAACTCTATGTACAGTTCTCAACATTAATACACTTGCGTTGGCAAGCATTTCGTAGGTAATAAACAAACTACTCAGACCTTAATTTCAATGGGGGTGATTTTCCCTGGTCGTATAAGAAGTTTACGAATTGGCTTCTCCGTATACCACAGTCTTGCGTTATAGAGGTGTGTAGGAATCATAAAAGGGAAGGTATAGTTCAAGTGTTGACCATCCCAACAATGTGCACAATGTAGAGAATATCACAATAACTTGGATGAAAGCACTTAACACATTTCATTTCATTAGTGTGGGTTGGGTTATATACTCTACTCCCGTAACTCCAGAATGTGTAAGTTTCTGGCTTGGTAACATTCGCTCCAGTGAGATGCCTCGTGCATATAAGAGTTTCAGTGGTCATATAATTAGTGTGAATGCCTTCCTCCTCCACAAAGACAGTTATCGTATATGTAAAATCATTATATTTGTCTGACTTTTACTACGTAGCTTAAGTGACCAAAGGTGAAAAATATTTTCAAAATTCCCACTCCACAACCGCAGTTTCAAAGGCTCCCATGATGATAATGCGTGTCTAAGCCATTATATAAAATACTCAAACCTCCTCTATTTAAATGGATGATTTTTTGTAGCTACTAAATACAAAGTCAAACGTGCCTCGTATACAACATTACATTTTGTCCACAGCTTGCGTTAAAATGCTTTGTATCGAGAAACAATGCTAGTGAAATAGACAGGTTTTGTTCGCAGGAAGTCCCTGTATTCAAACCTCCATTGAGCATGGGAACGGTATGCAACAAGTGTTCAGACCGACGTACAACTACATGAGTGATGTGTTATAAAAACCACTCACGTCCAGTATAATGAGATGGTGTACCAATTAACCCGACTATTATTCCTCGATAATTGGTACGTAAAGAATGGTCGATGTCGGTGCTTCAGTGAAATGCTTCCCCAGTACCATTAACTTAATGTTTTTGATATATCAAAATGAGCGTTTCTACTCATTTTGAAGGGAAGGGAAATCTTTGATGTTAACGAGAAAATGATTTTAACGAGAAAATAGGTGGCGGACGAAACTAATTTTGGACCAAACGCCTGCTGTGGGAGGAATCATGCAAAGTAAGGGTAAATGGTTTTAAATGCTCCTTAAAATGTGTTGATTGGGATATTTTTACATAATGATTACCATAAAGTGCAAAAGTTTCATCCCTTCATTTCAATATATATAATATATACAGTATAAATTTTGGTAGCAATCTTTCATGTAGACATGTTATTGAATGTGATCAAAATGGTGAGAAGTGATTTTAGCATGAAACTTCACTATTTTCCTTGCATTTTTCTTCACTTGAAAAGGAAATTGAAAATTGTTAACTCTCCCAAGTTCATTTTTACAGTTTTATGTGAATAATAAAATATATTTTGTATATTCTAAATATATGAATGTATATTTAGATATTTTAAAATGTTTTATGTAATATATATATATATATATATATATATATATATATATATATATATATATATATATATATATATATATATATATATATATATATATATATATATACATTTATATAAACTAAAGAAGGGATTTCTCCATTTAAGCCGCAAAGAAAGCAGTTGCTCACTAATTGAAAAGCAGAAAATTTTTCGGATATGACAATGCTTAGTAACGAGACAAGGGGGAGAGGTTAGCAGCGGAATAACATTTCGAATGTAAATACCTTCTGTAGGTTCCCAGGAGGCGTGTAAGGAGGATAACACCTATTAATACAAAATACATAGCAGTGATCACTGAATTGTCTATCACATGAATGTTGTCACATACACTGGCATCCCTCAACATGTTTCATATCTCTAACAGACTGTAATAGATATACTAATACGAATGAAGGATGATATATAGAACTGAAAACATACTTTGAGTGCCCTAAACCTAAATATATTATAAGACTTGAAATGCTGCTTTGAGTATAAGAAAATCCTTGAAGTTACTAGGAAAACTCGTTATGTTCACTAAATCCAGTTGCTATACAGTAACAATGAGAGCAACACTCAGGTTGGACTTGATTCATTACATCCCATAAGATAATTCAAGTTTCCCCTTGATGAGTTTTTGAATCTTGAGTCACAGTTACTGAAGGGACTCATTGCATTCATAACTCTTCTTTACTCACTGAGCGGTGGAGGCTAAGCAAGATGTTAGTTTCGATTTATCTACCTTAAATTCGTATCATTAGAGTGTGTCTCAAGTTTTTAACTAATATTTTGCTAATTGTTTTTATAACACAAGAAATTACCACTCAAACTTTTAAGCTACTTCATATATATGTATGTATATGTATGTATATGTATGTATGTATATGTATATATATATATATATATATATATATATATATATATATATATATATATATATATATATATATATATATATATATATATATAAAGAGATCACTATAATTCACAAATTCTATAGCCCTGGTCCGACCAGGACTCGAACCTACGTAGCCAGAGATCAGGAGTGTGTGTATACCACTCTAAAGATGCTTGCAGTAGACAAGCAAAGAGATATCAGTCACAGAACTGTGTACAGACACATCAAGGAACGGAGGAAAGGGATTAGACTCTGGCAGTAACCAAAATGTTTGACCTTGAAAATTTAATATAATTTTTACAGTATTTCTCTAGCTTGATTATATTTTGATTTCATTAATAACTGAAGTAATTTTTTATGTAGAACAACTGGAGGGAAAACTGTAAACTGACAGTGGAATTTTAACCTGAGAAATTTATAACGTTGAAAGAGACCAATTGGGATATAATTAATGTTAATTGAGTCTAAAGTTCTTTAAGAAAATAAGTCTTTTTGAGCAATTTGAGTGAACTCGGCTGTTGAACGAAGCCCATTGTGAGCCACTAACCTGTTGTGGGTTTCCCCCTTGAATTTCACGAACTCTGTTTTTTTTCTTTTTGCAATGCATTGGTCAGTTGAAGTATTGTATTTTGGTAATGTCCTTTTTGTTTCTCTTTTATGGAGGGTACAAGAGTTCCGGACAGGAGAATTTGAGGGAGAAGGGATAAAAAAAAGCAAGAAAATTAGCTGCCAGAAAAAAAGGTGAGAGAGAAGAGCAACCAGATGTAGGAAGGAAGGTTATCTTGAGGTTATCTTGAGATAATTTCGGGGCTTTAGTGTCCCCGCGGCCCGGTCCTCGACCAGGCCTCCACCCCCAGGAAGCAGCCCGTGACAGCTGACTAACACCCAGGTACCTATTTTACTGCTAGGTAACAGGGGCATCAGGGTGAAAGAAACTCTGCCCATTGTTTCTCGCCGACGCCTGGGATCGAACCTAGGACCACAGGATCACAAGTCCAGCGTGCTGTTCGCTCGGCCGACCGGCTCCCTAATTTAGGTTCTTAGGGTAACACTCAAACAAGCAAAATATTTATGTATCGGTTTTTGAAGCGTTTTCTGCTCCCTATTCTTTTCAAAATAAAAATAGCTGTATGGTTGTGTATTTGTGTGTTTGAATATATATTCTCCTATTTGTTCCAGTAGGACCGAGTTACCAGCTCTTGAACCCCGTGTGTATAACCATACGTTGTATAATGTAGTGATGCACGACCTGTTGTTCTCTATCATGTCTGCTACATATTTTTTTCTCTGTCTCTCTCTGTCTCTCTCTTTCTGTGTCTCTCTCTCTCTTTGTACCATTCTCTCTCTCTCTCTCTCTCTCTCTCTCTCTCTCTCTCTCTCTCTCTCTCTCTCTCTCTCTCTCTCTCTCTCTCTCTCTCTCTCCTCCATGCCTGACATACTTTATGGCGCTCTCCTGTGCAGAGTAGTCAACAAGAAAGTTTATGGTTATGGTTTTAACTGGTTCCTTTCTTTCCATAATTTGATAAGCTGGTCGTTGACTGTGAGCCTGCTTGTGTTATGGTGTGTAATGATCTTTGTTGATCTGTTATTGTCCTACTACTCTGCTTTGCTTATTATTCTGGTATATATTCGTTTCTAGCTCTTCAATTCTTTTCTTTAATCCCTGTTTTATGATTCCTGAATCTCTGTCATGCTTTCTTGAGTCGTTCTTGGCTTTCTGGTACATTTTGTCGACCTTGAGCTGTTCGACATCTTGTCAAACAGCTCAAGTTTCGAACAAGCCCTAGATTCGAACAAGCTTCTGTTATCCTTTGCTTCCTTGAATGATGTGTATCTGCCCCTCTCTAGGGGATGTGTTCCTTTCATTTTCAATTTTTTTTGTCAATATCCGGCAGATTTTGCAGAAAACAGTCGTCTTTATATCCTTTTCACGCACCATTCCGACCTTTTCTGCTTTTTTTATGCGTGAGTGTTTAACCTGGAAGTAATGTTGCGTTCTTTCCCGTGCTGTGCTATAGCCTGCCCTAGGCTAAAGCTATCCCAATCTAAGAACCAAACCTATCTTAATCGGAAGAAAACCTAACCTAACTATGCGGCTACGTTAATAGGACCTAACCTAGCCATACCTAACCTAACCGTTCCTAACTTAACCATACCTAGGCCAACCATACCTAACCTAACCTAACCATACCTAACTAAATCAAACATAATTTACCCTAACCTGAAGTTAGCCTCACCTTACGTAACCTAGCCTAACGCTAAGCTAACCTATCCTAATCTAACCAAACCTAACCTAAAGCTAACCAGACCTAACCTAACATAACCTAATCAAACCTAACACATACAAAACCTTGTTCTTTGGTTTCTCTTCTCTGCCTGAGTTATTCAGGTATTCGCACTGCAATTATGATCTGTGTCAGTTTTATTTGTGTTGCACCCAGCATTGTTATTTCTACCATTTATATATATATATATATATATATATATATATATATATATATATATATATATATATATATATATATATATATATAAATATATATATATATAAAATATATATATATATATATATATATATATATATATATATATATATATATATATATATATATATATATATATATATATCGAAATGTATGATTCTTTTGGTCAACGTAAGTTAAGAGATTACATTAAAATTACATTAAAAATTATTCCATAATATAATTTTTATCATATGTGTCATTTGCGTCATTTGAGTCTTTTTTTCCACATGGAGTGTTGCTCCTGTGTTGAGTGAATAGTCGATTCCTCGTATCTTGATAACGTGTGGTTATAACATATAACTTGTTATAAGTTTGCTTGCATGATATCTTAGACTCATTCAGTACTATAATGAGTAGGAACATTTTTGCTACTATTAATTTTTCGTGTAAGACATCTTGTACTTATTAAACTTGCGAATGTTTGCGTGTGCTTGCTAGAATCCTTAATGTTATATAGATGAAATATTCAGTTGCTGTTGTCATATTTTATTAGTTTGGTGAGTGACTTCTTATGGACTCATTATTATTTAACAATTGACTCAAGTATTTATTGACCGCCGCCTTTCATTCTCTGGGGTCCTCTTTATTGCTTTTTTTCCCCATCTTGCTACTCCATCTCATTCTGTCTTCTCTCTCTCTGTCTCTCTCTCTCTCTCTCTCTCTCTCTCTCTCTCTCTCTCTCTTCTCTCTCTCTCTCTCTCTCTCTCTCTCTCTCTCTCTCTCTCTCCATCTCTCTCTCTCTCTCTCTCTCTCTCTCTCTCTCTCTCTCTCTCTCTCCTCCGCTCTCTCTCCCTCTCTCTCTCTCTCATCTCTCCCTCTCTCCTCTCTCTCTCTCTCTCTCTCTCTCTCTCTCTCTCTCTCTCTCTCTCCCTCTCCTCTCTCTCCTCTCTCTCTCACTCTCTTACCTGGTGTAGGGTGGAGAGTTGAGGAAAGCGACAGGGCAGGTGGGCCACGTCCCCAATATTTACATTGACGTCGATGACGGTGTTGTTCTCCAGGTTGACCTCCGGGAGAACGTGGCGGATGTCTCCCACGGGGTCCTCCGTCTCCGTGTCTCCTGCAGGGAACATGTGGGTCTTATTAGGTCTTGTAGGCTCCTATTACATTCCGTCAGGATGCTGCAATTATTATTTTTTAATTTTTAAAGGAGAAAGATTAAAAGTCATTCCTGGTGTTAAGCTTCGGGTACGTTTATTTAATCGTGGTAAGCGTACAGTCGAGAAATATTAATCAAATTGTTTGTACAAGTTTGTGTGTAAATATGGTTGTAATTTATTTTCCAGAGTAGCACGGCAACGACACGATATAAGTTTCTGAATGTCTTTTGCAGTGTTTAGTCTCCAACGTCGTCTAAGTGCTCACTATGACTGGAGAGGAAAGCATGAGAACACACACCTAGAAGCTCATTACATTTTCTCTCTCAGGGCTTTAAAAATACATAGGAAATGATACAGTTTTTCTTAAACACAGCTGCTCTTTTTATCACGAATTAGGTGACGATTTGGCGGAGCATTTAACCATATAAATTTTGTTCATTATCATGTATCATACTTGACGGAATAGTTTTAATACAAGAAAAGTAATTTCTTCACATCTGAACATACTTTATTCATCTATATTCCACCCGTTTTTTACTTCTTTTTACTTCGCTGTAAAGAGAGAAAATCCTATTAGGTGTAAATTTTTGCGTCAACATTGCGTGCCCGCCAGAGGCCTCCTTCAAGAGGCAAACACTTAAAGCTTAACAAGCTGGTGAAACAGGTAGGACAAATAAGCTGCTCTTCACCATCCCTCCTCTTAAGCACGAGTTAAACGAAGCTTGAAATTGAGTCTTTAAAAATAATTATTCTGATTTTTTATATTAAAGTTCTTACTGCCTTGCTAGTTAAGCTTAACTGTTAACAACGCGACGGAAATAAAAGGGAAAATGTTGTCAGAATTTATTCTGTAAGGTATACTAAATCTCCATCAGCACTTATAATGAAAGGTAAACTATCCGTCAGCATTTATCCTGCAATTTAAACTAAACCTCCATTAGCATTTATCTTGTAAAGTAAACTAAAATTCAGCATTCATCATCTAAGGTAAACCAAACCTCGGTCAGTACTTAACTTGAAAGGTAAACCAA